TAATTGGAAGGTGCAGACTGCAACAAAACAGTAAATAGGGTGTACAGCGCACACTATAGTCTATAACAACAAATGAATTGAAATAAATGAGCGTTCTGTTTGTGCAACAGCGCGACAAACATTACCTGTCCTTTTATGAACTGCACAAGTAGTGGTGGTCATTAACTGCTAGCTAACTGGGTAAGGGTGTTACAAGGCTGATTTCTGGTTGTTCCCAGTGTCTCCTGATTTTCCTTGTTCTTGTGTACTGCTGTCTTACAAGTTTTGAACCTGGAAGCAAGCTGCTGCTCATCGTAGCCTTCTGTCACTAATATTGACACTACTTACGAAGATGGATAGAGGAATAGGGTAAGGGTAAGCACATACAGTGGCTATAAAAAATGTATACACACCTGTTAAAATACCATGTTATTGTGATGTAAAAAAAATCTCCACCAGCAATGTCAAATCCGTTCCCTGAAATGAACAGTGAGGCAGTCAGAGAAAAAAAACCCAACAACAACCCATACTGCAGGCATTTTCTAGTGTAATGCTCTATAACAAAAATATATTTTTGTATGATTTCATTATTTAATATTAGATTACAGTTCACATTCCATTCAATTTGTTGTGTTTTTCATGTTCTGAATCTGAAAAGTGGAATGTTATAGGAATTTTAAGCAAAAATGGACCCTTGAAATAAAGTAATAATGAAAGTTGTGATTTTTAAATCCTGGTTTAATCCTGGTTCTGGTGACAGAAGGCTACGATGAGCAGCAGCTTGCTTCCAGGTTCAAAACTTGTAAGACAGCAGTACACAAGAACAAGGAAAATCAGGAGACACTGGGAACAACCAGAAATCAGCCAAGTAAAGGGCAGAAGTGACTTTCTAATGTCAGAGGTAACTGTTAACTTATCCAAAAGTTTCTCATGAACTGGAGGATGATATCAAGTGACCTTAAAAAGGAATGGGAAATATTAAGTAGTGTGAAGTGCACTGCTAAGTTCGTATCAGTCTCTTAGAAGCAAGACTGATGGATGATGTCCATTAAGCAAGGAAGAAGCCCTTCATCATTGATAATAAACAGAGAATATACTGTGTGTGTATGTATATATATATATATATATATATATATATATATATATATATATATATATATATATATATATATATTAGGGGTGTGCAAAGCAGCCGGTATTTGTATCTGTATTTGTTGAGGGGGGAAAAGTATTTGTATTTGTATTCGAGTGAAATTCAAAATAGGCGTAAAAATGCAGTTTTTTTGCGTTGCACTTCTAATTTACGTTATAGTGTAAGTATTCTTTAATTATATTCATTATAATAATTATGCATATGCAGTAGACAGAGTAACTTAAACGTACCATATAACTCCTACAAGTGCATACAATTCGACACAACTACACAAGCATTGTTTTAACCTTTTTAAACAAACGTTAACGTTACTCTGTCAACAGCCTATTGTCTAAATTACCGAGCTAACAGAGCTACGTAAACAGAGCGAACATGAGAGCACCTGACTGCAGACGTCAATAATGCAGCGTAATGGAATAAGCTCCCGATCAAACTCCGCTTCCCGAAAGTTATAAACTGCCTCCGGCATGTTATATACACGCATGACATATGACATGAAAAGCATCAGCTTAAACTCTGTTCACATAAGCCTGATTAGAACTGCAAGACTACCTTATTCCCCTTATAGAACTTGTTTAATTGCTTGCTGTGTTCATCAAAATCTTTTTTTCTGTAGCATATGCATTTCATTATTCAGGTCTGCCAGTGCATCCATCAGAAAGGCCTGATGACTCCTCTCCAATTCTTCCATGTGCTAGACAAAATAACAGGTTGTTAAACTGTATTAAACTGTGTAATGGCATACCTATTGGTGTGTCAGCATTGCACCAGCAGATGGCAGTCCCGAGCATCACCACATGGCACCCCAACGTCCACAGCATATACTCAAAAGAAATACCATTAAGAGTGGGAGAGAAAAAAAGGGAAAAGGCTAGGCTTCTTATTGAACCAAACACTCTGCCTTATTCACAGTACATCCTTGTGATGTCTTTTATTGTCAATAAACAGTCTTGCATCTGAACCCACAGCCCCCAACTTCATCCTGTGGGTCAGTGCATGATACCTGATACTATCACATCATTATTAGCAGACAACTCTCACAACCTTAACTAGAATAACAATTATGTTATTGGTATCAAGCCAACAACAACTTCCAATATTTCAGTGTAATAAAGTGAGTCTGCAGTTCAAAGTTGGTAAAGCTGCCCCCTTTCCTTCTTGTACACAATAAAGTAATAAGCAAATATGACTGCCACTAGATATCAAAATAATTTTTCTTTTGAAGGATCTAAATAATTAATAATTTGTGTAACGTGGAAGCAGTTTCATTAAACACCATGTGTCCCATACTATG